AAATTAACACTAATTAAACAAATTGCAAACGACAGAGAAAATGAAAATGAATGAAAAAATTCTCGTGTTTGCAAAAAAATTGCCCGATATTTCCACTGTACCCTAAACTCGTGTCGATAAATGTCCAAAGGTGAAGATGAACCTCGAAACGATTAAAAAAAAAATTAATTAATGATAATTAAGCGAGAGAACGAATAAACAGACGAGTTTTTATTTCATTTTTCTACACATTTTGTATATTTCCAGTGATCAATTGATATCGAATAGAAAGTGTGTAATTACGATCGGTAATTATGATTAATTGGTAGTTGATTGGTTGATTAATTGATTAATCAATGCGCGAGGAGATGATTTATTGATCAAGCACTTATTGGATAACTGGGGAATGTTAATTTGTTTTTTAATATCACCCGCAACGATGCGACCTGAGCCACTGATTAATTAGTTAAAAAGGGGTGGATTAATTAGTTTAGTACGTCCCAGGCACATCGAATGCTAGTCATGAGGATCCTATTTATTTTCATCGCATTTTTATTTGGTTTTTGCTGTTAAAAAACAACTCATCGTTCGTAATTTATGAGAATTTTCTGATTAAAATGGATCTTCTGTAATGCACTGGGCCTAAATGATTGTAGTTTCTTCATTATTGAAGATAATTACAGTAGAAATTCCGGAGATAATTGGGATTATTCGAATTTTAGGGATAATTAATTTATTTTTACTTTTTTTATTTCCACAGCATCAAATCCTCGAATTTAATTGATAGAGTAATTTTCGCGGATTTGTTGAACGAGTTGTCCGAAAACTATTGATTTTAACGATAATTATCAGAGGATCTTATTTGTGGAAAATTTCATCAGCTCCAAAAAAGTCCTTTGACGTTTTCTCATGAAAGCGATAGTTCTCGCGATAAATCGGTGAATACGAACTTCACTTTGATTAAATTATCAAAAACCAGGAAGATCTCTCTCGAAGCTCAGAATTTCCACGACATTTCACGAAATAATCCCATTTCCTTATCTCCTAGGTGTGAAACAGGTGGCATCGTTCCCGAGTAGCATTATCGTCGTAAGGTGTACCATAAATAAAACGATGGCACGATAAACATAAAAAGTAAAATGGAAAAAGCAATCCGGCCTCAAGAGCTTTCCAGAGGCTCCAGCAAAGAAATTAAATAAAAAAAAGAACCCACAAAATCATTGGGGCGAGGGATTGCACCAAGAAGAAGTACAAATTAAATAATGAGAATATGAGAAATTGATAGCAAGTGCAAAACGAATAAATAAAAGAAAACAGTTAAAAAAAATCGCTCGACGAATGTGCGAACGATTGAAATAAACCAGATGACGTGAAAATATGAATTTGCGACAATGTGAAAGAGGTGTATGGTTTACCTTAATTCGCTTTTTATTAATTATATTAATTATATTAATTATAGCATTATAGCTTGTAAAATTATTCGAAAAATACCTTGAATACAGAAAAAAAGAAGAATAAACAAACGTTACACACTAAAATAATAATTGTTCATTCCTTTCACGAACAATTTCGACATTTCCTAATCAATTCATAGATTAATGGTGTAATTAATGAAGACTAATCGACGAAAATTCATTGAACTCTTAATTTTTATTCAAAGCTCGTTCTTTCTTACATAATGGTGAAAAATAAACAATTTGTTATAAAAATTCTTAAGGCACAGTTTTCCTGAAATTCCTAACTTCAAACTAATTGAAATTCCAGGTGAATGAATCGAAATTGACTCTGAAATTCAACTCCAAAGGCAATAATAATAATAATAATGGCAATAAATGAGGCATTCGTTATAAAAACTTTCTTTGACTGTGCAGAAGACCTTAAAGTACAATTTCAAAACTACTGTACGTAAAAAAATAAAAATTGGGATTTGAACACCGGGTCCTCCACTCTTTAGATCAATTAAAGTATTCCTTAATAATGAGAAAAATGAAATCAACTCAATTTTCTGAATTAATACCTAATTAATATGGAAAAATTACGAAAAAAAAAAATTGAAAGTTGTTCTCTGTTTGGATATTTTTTTCTTCTCAAAGACAGATAAATCTTCAGGTAATTAAATTTAAATTGAAATGATAAATTAGCTGTTTATCTAAATTGACAGCCCCTGGACTATTTTTAGAATGATTTAATGTACGTACGTGATCTAAATCACGAATTCAAAAATACTCTTTTTAATAATAACGAATTATTCATCCACTGCAGGAGACACAAGCCTTGCCGTTCTGTCTGAAACAGACGGATTCCTCTTCCTCGGAGGAATTGACCGAGCCATTGAGAGATTTATTGAGAGAAGCATTGATGGATGCATTGAGGGACTTATTGAGAGACTCATCCATGGAATTATCCCCCGAATTGACTGGCTTGTTCGCCCTGAGTCTGGTCTTGTCGACAGTGAATTGGATGGCATTGGTGGCTGGTTTGGTCCTGAGGTAGTACATTCCAGTCTTCAAGCCAGCCTCCCAACCGAAGAAATGCATGGAGGTGAGTTTTTCAGTTGTTGGATTTGCTATGTGAACATTGAGAGACTGGGACTGATCGATGAAGGCCCCACGATCAGCTGCCATCTTGAGGATCATCCTCTGGGGAATCTCCCAGACTGTTCTGTACAGTGCCTTGATGTCTGCTGGGATGCTGTCGATGTTCTGGATCGAGCCATTGTTCGCTATTATCAGGTTCCTCATCTCGTCGTCCCAGAGGTTGCGCTCGGTGAGGTCCTTCAGGAGATGGGGATTGACCACCTGGAATTCACCAGACAATACACGTCTCGAGTAGATATTGCTGGTGTAGGGCTCGATGGCCTCGTTGTTCCCAAGAATTTGGGCTGTTGAGGCTGTTGGCATTGGTGCCAGTAGGAGAGAGTTCCTGATACCGTGTTTGGAAATTTTATCCTTGAGTTTAGCCCAGTCCCAGAGATTTGTTGGTGTTACACCCCACATGTCGTACTGGAGGATGCCCTGGCTGACTGGTGAGCCTTTGTACGTCTCGTAGGTGCCCTTCTCCTGGGCGAGCTCGCATGAGGCCTCGAGTGCACCGTAATACAGGGTCTCGAAGATCTGGATATTGAGTTTCTGGGCGTCATCGCTGTCGAATGGATAACGCATCAGTAGAAATGCATCTGCCAGACCCTGAACTCCAATTCCCATGGGACGGTGTCTCACGTTGGAGACTTTTGCCTGCTCAAGTGGGTAATGATTGACGTCGATCACTCTGTCGAGGTTTCTGGTAACAACTTTGACGACTGTCTTCAGCTTCTTAAAGTCGTAAGTTTTTTTCACTGGATCCACGAACATGTTAACTGCAATCGAGGCCAAATTGCAAACAGCAATTTCATCGGGGCTCGAGTACTCCACGATCTCAGTGCACAAGTTGCTGCATTTTATCGTTCCCAAGTTCTTCTGATTGGATTTCCGGTTGCATGCGTCTTTGTACAGCATGTAGGGGGTCCCAGTCTCGACTTGTGACATAAGAATTGCAGTCCAGAGATCACGAGCCTTCACCTGACGCTTGAAACGAGCCTCGTTCTCGTATTTTACGTAGAGATTCTCAAACTCTTCACCCCAAGAGTCACAAAGGCCTGGACACTCGTGGGGGCACATCAGACTCCACATACCATCCGCCAGGACTCGTTTCATGAATAGATCAGGAATCCAGAGTGCGTAGAACAGCTCACGCGCTCTATATTCCTCCTTTCCTGTGTTCTTCTTGAGATCGAGAACATCAAAGATGTCAGCGTGCCAGGGCTCGAGATAAATGGCAAATGCGCCAGGACGTTTGTTTCCACCCTGATCAACGTAACGTGCTGTGTTATTGTAAACACGAAGCATGGGTACAAGCCCATTGGATACACCATTGGTACCAGCAATTCGTGTCCCCTTGGCTCTGATACAGTGAACATTCACTCCAATACCACCAGCTGACTTGCTGACAAGTGCACACCTCTTGAGGGTGTCGTAGATGCCATCGATGCTGTCCTCAGTCATTGTTAGAAGGAAACAGCTGGACATCTGTTGTATACAAGTGCAGGCTGAGAAGAGGGTTGGTGATGCGTGAGTGAAGTATCTCTCGGACAGATAGTTGTATGTCTCAATGACCCTGGCGATATCCTCCTCGTGTATTCCCACAGCCACTCTCATCAGCATGTGGGCAGGCCTCTCAACGACTTTGCCATTGATCCTCAGCAGGTAACTCCTCTCAAGGGTCTTGAAGCCAAAGTAATTGTAACTGTTGTCTCTGGTGTAGATTATCGCCGAGTCGAGCTTCTCTGCGTTCTTCTGGATAATATCGTTATGGTGTTTGCTGATGATCGGGGTGTGCTCCTTTGTTACAGCATCTATGGCGTTGTGGAGGTCGTTCATTACCTCGCTGAAACTCTTCTTCGTTTCTTTGTGGAGATTAGCCACTGCTATTCTTGCTGCCAGGATTGCGTAGTCCGGGTGAATGGTCGTCATCGTGGCAGCTGTCTCTGCTGCCAGATTGTCCAGCTCGACTGTTGTCACACCAGAGTACAGACCACTCACTACTCTCAGGGTGATTGCAGGAGGATCCACGAAGTCCATGTCCAGGTTGTAGCATAACTTCTGGATCCTCGAGGTGATTTTGTCGTAATGAACTTCTTCTTTACGCCCATCTAAAATTGAAGGTTTGTCTTGCACTAATAAACTTTTTTCCTCTCGTATACCCTTTCGGGTCTTTACGAGTCTTGCACAAATATTTCATTGGATTACTAAATATGGAATTTATAAACAAGTCGGCAGATATGGGTTATCTCCACGCTTGTTGTTGGCGTCATGAGATTAATTTGGAAAAATGACTTACCACGTTTAAGGACAAACATTCTTTTTCCAATAACTCCTTTCCCCACCATTTTAACAGGATATACCCATCAATTTATCAATAATAATCTTTAATAATTATTAATTAAAAACCGGCGTTTTAACACGAAAAAATGCTCGATTCGACGCAATTTCGAAGAATCATTGAGGGGGCGCCACTTTCTTTTACAACTGTTACACGATCTCACAAAATTATTTCAAAATTAACATTTTCATCCTGATAATATCCAAAATTACATTATTCATGACGTGGATTTTCCTACCTTCACAGTAATTAATCGTTTTGTCACCTTGACCTAATTTATTAGACCTTGCCCTCCCCCTCGCCCATCAGCTGATTGGCTCCCACCCTCTACTCCCGAAATTCAAATCCGAATCGTCCAATTTCATTGTCAGTTTTTCCTTTAAAAAATATCGAGGAAATAATTTCAGTTTTCTCTCGAGTCCAATAGAAAGTCATTGATTTACTAATTGTCAATAATTAAGCATTGTTATTGTTATCACAATTGTTATTCCAATTGATGGGAAATGTTTTAACTCCTGTAAATGACCCTGGGGTGGATGTTCCTCAGGAGTTTGAGTCCTCGAAGGTGATGAGGTGTCCCATGATTCATTATTCATCAGGTGACATCATTAATTCCCTCCAGACGCGGATGAATCGAATAAATGATTCAGTGACCTTCGGATTCCCCCACTGCCAGAGAAATTCTTCTTACGTCACAACACGTCATGAGCCAACAATTTTATTTCTCTCGGGTGTTGGCAGAATCCGTTTTTCCAGTTCAAGTTGGGATTGGCCAGCGGTTACTCGAGTAACGGATCCGAAGAGTTCTTGTGTATTTCACAATAATCCGTGAGTTTATTCGTAATTAGTAATTAAATAATGGAATCTTTAGAATCTCGAGGGACTTTTTTTTAAATTCATCCACTGGATTTTGGAAAAATTTGTTCAGGGACTTGGGCGTTGGTTTTTATTCATTTCACTGGGAGCAGCTGCTCCTCGTTTTTAATTGACATCGAGATCAATTATTTATTATATTTTTACTATCATTTTTTGTCATTAAAAATATGGTTTTAATCCAATTTTATGTCATCTTTTAATGTTTTTTATTTATTGTTCCAATTTATTTATTCAATGAAGATAATTATAAATATTCATTATTAATATTTCTATGCGATTATTAAATGTAAATATATTCTATCAAATATTAATTAATATTAAATTGTGTATCAACAATCACCTTTTTATTATTTCTTTTGTTACATCGGTTAGTTATTATTCATTAATTTGTTATTACAATTTCACAGAATACTTGGTTTTGATGGAAATTATTTTTCCGGTTGAATTATTTCTATCGGTTTCGTCAGTATTATTTATCTCTCGAGTATTTTTGCGGGCAATTGCGACGGAGAATTGAATTTTGTAATAACAGTTGTCAAGGGCGAATTTATTTTTCCGAGGATTGAACAATTGAAATTGTCTCGTGTGTCGACAGATCAGTATTGGATATCAGTATATTTGAATTTATTGAATCACCGTGTTCGGATGAAAGGAAGATAATTATAAATATTTTTTATTATCATCATAATAATGTATTTATTGCAGAATTGTAGAGCATAATTATGGCAGCCCATCAGTACTACCACGTGCAGGTAAAATAATATTTAAAGAATAATAATGTAAAAATAAAATATATAACATCATAATACATATTTCATATTTCGCCGAAAAATCTTCCAAAAAGTATTAATAAAATTGAAAATATGGTACATTCTAGTCAGAATTAAAGAGAAATTTCGATTTAATATTCAATATTTTAAGTTTACTAATGGAAGTAATTAAAATGTGAAATGGAAATGACTCAGACATTGCGACGTGTGCGTCAGTTCTGATGATAAATTTGTTGTCAATTTAATCCGATAATAAAGATATTTAATTGTAAAAAAAATCAGTGCACCCCGACAGTCTACCCGGCGGAGCCATTTGACCCAGAAAATGACGCCCAAATGCTGCGTACCGCAATGAAGGGCTTCGGAACCGACGAGCAGACAATTATCGACGTCCTGGCACATCGTGGAATAGTCCAGCGTCTGGAGATTGCCGATCAATTCAAGACAATGTTCGGTAAAGACTTGATATCCGACCTGAAGTCCGAACTCGGTGGAAATTTTGAGAATGCCATAGTCGCCCTGATGACACCCCTTCCTGAATTTTTCGCTCGCGAGATCCACAACGCAATATCTGGAATGGGAACCGACGAGGAGACCATCATCGAGGTTCTCGCCTCCCTCAGCAATTATGGAATCAAAACCATTTCAGCTGTTTACAAAGACCGTGAGCACTCGATTAATCATTAATTATTTAAGCTAATGGTGGAATAATTAATGAGAATTGAATGGTGACGATTTAAATTCTTTTACAGTATTCGAAAATGACCTGGAGGAAGATCTCAAAGGAGACACTTCTGGACACTTCAAGCGTCTGCTCGTGTCGCTGTCAACTGTAAGTGACAGTTGAAAAAAAAATCATGCTCAATTGAATGAGTATAATTAATTATAAATATAATTATATTGAAGTAATTAAAGGAGCACTCAATGGAGAGCTGAAAAAATTCTGAGGAATTGACGTAATTGTCTGGTATAATCTAGGCAAATCGAGATGAAGATCCTGATGTGGATGAGAGAGCAGCACTCGAGGAAGCTGAGAGGCTGTTCCAGGCTGGCGAGGGCCAATGGGGAACTGACGAGAGCACCTTCAACGCTATCTTGATAACCAAGAGTTTTCCCCAGCTTCGCAGAATTTTTTACGAGTACGAGAGGATCTCCGGGAATAGTCTTGAGGACGCCATCAGGAGGGAATTCTCTGGCTCCCTCGAGGATGGATATCTTGCAGTTGGTAATTATCATTAATTATTATTAATTAATTTAATACAAAAAAGGTAATTCTCAATTCTCTAAAAAATTCTATTGATTTCTCACGCCAATTTTATCATCGTCCATTGTTTATTTATAAAATAAAAGACCAATGGATTCTGTAATTTATTGTATAATTCATTCCCTTCAATTTTTTTAATCAATTTTTTTGCCTATTTTTCCAGTGAAATGCGCCAGAGACAAGACCGCGTATTTCGCGGAGAGACTGCATAAGGCGATGTCAGGAATGGGCACCAATGACTCCACCCTGATCCGAATAATCGTCTCTCGTTCTGAGATCGATCTGGGGGACATCAAAGAAGTCTACCAGAGAATCTACGGAAATTCTCTCGCTGCAGGCATCGACGTAAGTCCACGATAAATAAAAAATTAGCGCTCTCCAGAAAATTTGTTCTTAATATTTCATTACGATTCTATTAAAAAATTCTATTCGCGAATTTTTTTAATAAGGATGAATGTTTATTTAATTATTTAATAGGATTGGGTGGAAAACGAATAGGATTTTTTGATGAATGAAACTAAACTTTTGATATTTCGATGCGATTATCAAATTTTAACGCGACATCGTAAAAAAACCATCTGATGACTTGTCATTTTACCCTAATATTTCAGAGTGACACGTCTGGTGACTACAAGAGACTCTTGCTTGCTTTGACTGGCCAATAAACATCCACATTACTATTATTTTCATATTCACGTTGTGTCTAATCCTCTGAGAATTTATTTATTCACTGGTCAGTATAATTTTCGTTTCTCTCGTTTCTTTCGATTTTTGCATGCCATAACGAGCTCGGGGGGTCTATCCACCATCCGATGGATTTTATACGAAAATCTCGCCTCAATTTACCAAATAAACAAAAAATAACATCACCCTTTACTTTAAAAAATTGTGCAATTTTCCATTTTTCTTGTAATTTTAATTCCATTTGTTCATTATTAATTAATAACAGAACGTCATTATCTATTTTTTATTTCTTTTCGATTTCAGAGCGACTGCAGCGATGATTTCAAAAGCCTTCTGTTAGGCTTGATTCATTAAAACGCATTAAATTACTTTAACGAGTTTGTGTAATAAAAAGAAGAGGAAATAGTTAATTAAGAATTCTAATTTGCTGTTATGTTGCCACTCACGCATGCCGAATAGATTACTCGTGGGATTGATAACAGACATTACAATTTCCCGTATATTTTTTTAATTAACTAATGAGTGCGACTTATCGACTCGGATGTGTTTATTTTCCAGGATGATTGTAATGCCGCGTGTAAAAAACTCCTTATCGCACTCCTCAACTGAATGGAAGCTATTAAAATGAGAGATCCAACAGACAGTAACAAAGCATTTATTATAAAATCATCAACACAAAATATGAACTCATTAATTCGCTATCTAAACATTAAAATTACTGAATTCGACAGCACTCCTTTGAAATTTCCTAAATATCTCGGCATCCAAGCGAGCTATCGAAAATTTTGTAACGACCTTTTCTCTAGGTCTTAATCAGCTTTACAAAAAAGGCTCCACGAAAATTTTCGGTATCCGCCCTAAATTCCGAGATTTCCACGGAAAACTGATCAACAGCCAGAATCGATGTGAGTAACTCCCCGTGAATTCATGATTATCGATCAATATCTCGGGATTTAATAGAGATAAAGGAAATTTTGTAATAACCTTTTTTGTAGGGCTTAATTAGTTCTGCAAAAAAGGTTTTGACAGAAATTTTGATATCGGCCGTAAATTCCGAGTTATTCACTGAGCACTTGGAAAAATTGATGACTAACAGTTGAAAATGAATGAATCTTGGAATTAGTAATGAGTGATGATCAGATCATGATGACTGAGGGAATCTTTTCCTTGTATTTGTATTCCTCTCGATCGATCACATGATTCCATCGGAAAAAATTCTCAATTTTCGGCGGATGCAGGGGAATGTCGAAGCACCCGACATTCACAGATTTGTGAATTACGTGATAAATCTCGACTGCAATTTTCGCACAACCGTGATAAAGCTTCTTCGTAAAGGACAGATCATATAATTGCAGGCAGACGTCAGCAGACAACTTCTCTAATTCTGGAATTCCCACGCATATGGGTGGAGGATTTCGAACTATTAAAAGACAATGTATTATTATTTAAAGAATAATCATCGAATTCAATATTTATGTGTCATTCATGAAAAGATGTAACTGATATTTTACTGAATAAAAATGGGTTTAATGGATAAAAATTAATGAATGGAGGTTATTATTCCAGGAATTCATTTGTATAGAATTTTTTCTGCCTACAAACCATTGTATTGGATAATTGGTGATATAATTCTCGGAAAATCTTCTGAATTGATAAGCGATTCAATAAATTTATTATGATAATTCAATTATTCAAGCGTTTATATTTAATTGAGACCGCAATGGACAATTTGCGTGTACCTTTTTGCGGAGGAGTTTTGCAGAGATAGAAATGATAGAAGAAATGTTTATAATAATTGATTAATTAATTTAAATCAAAACACTTACCCGATACTGTCTCGTTGTAGACAACATAATCATTCCAAGTAATCGTTACAGAAATTCCATAATCATTGGACAAATAGGAGACATTTCCACAAACTAAAAACGAAAAATAAAAATGGATAAACCCCGGGGAATGCATGAGGGGAGGTATTTACCTGTTGCATTGATATCGAATCTTTCCAAAACCATTCTTTCGCAGCATCCGCAATTATTCTTAATGCACACGCAACCATTTTTCAATGAATCAGCCTCTCGATCTCCTGTTAATTCTTTGTGGACGGAAAAAATACATTTGAGATAAGCAAAGAGCAATTTTTCAAGGAATTAAATAGTTGTACTAAACCTTGTAATGATGATTCATCCTGCAGGCAAGTAGAAACTGATATTAACATTAAAATTATGGAGATAATTATAACAAAACGAGTGGAGTCCATGATTGAAGTGCAGTGGAATTTTATCTGGAACTGCCAGGCGAAATTGCACGTTGAAAATAAAATGGAATATGAACTTCTAGCCACAACAAATCACACACTCATTCGTAATTGTATGAGTGTACACGTGCATGAGAGTCACGTGACTGACATGTGCCATTGGGAGAAATTTTTTGTGTCTATTTTTTTTTTTAAACGCTCTCTATATTTTAAATATTTACACAATTTTTTAATATAAATGAGTTTTATGCAGATATTTCAAAATATATCTTCAATTGATATAATATTAATATTGATAACTCAATATTAAATATTAAGTGGATGAACTTTATCTGAGGAGAAATTATAGTATAAAACTGCAATTCAATAAATTATACTTTAGATATATATATATATATATATATATCCCGAAATATAGGAAAATAATATCCGGATGTGGTTCGCATATATTTCGGCGAAAAACGCGTTTTCCAAAATATATTTTTGATATATTTGCGCAGATATATTTCACCGGTCCCATTGAAGATGCATTCAAAATTTACGTTGGATATATTGAAAATATAATATAGCCAGAGATATATATGTGTCAGTTATAATTATTGGATGATATATTTGATGTTGAGGGGGAAACTCTGACAATTGTATTATCACCACCGTTAGTGTTTTCAATAGCCCATCGGTGGACCACCTCTCCACCTAAGGTCGACGAGCTCGCAGATGAAATGAAGGGGAGACCCCCGGATGTCCGCGCCCTGACCCACAAGAAGTGAGGCCGACTCAGTAACACTCAGAGCCGCAGGTGAGACGGAGGGACAAACTGTAGCTCCCACTGGGAAAATCAATTCACTGCAAGAGGTAAAAGTCCACTCAAGTTTTTCCTAAAAATTCATTAAAATCCCGAGAATACACGAATCCACGCGAGATAGGGACCTTCTCATCAGGACCTTTTTTAGAGATCTCCTCGAGAGCTGCAAAAAAGATCTTATCGAAAATTTTTCTATTTCTTTTCGATTCCGACTTATCCCCCGAAAACTCGAAGTTCTTCCTAAATCATCATCATCAGTTCTGGAGTCCTGTTTTCGGGGAATACCTACAAATACGAGACAGATAGCGAGATTTCCATAAAAACCTTTTTTGCAGCTCTCGTTTTGTTCTACAAAAAAGGTCTTGTCGAAAATTTCGGTATTCTTATCGAACTCTGAGTTATTCCTCGGAAATTGAAATGGGAAATTCGTTTTAAAGAGCAACAAGTCGCGGTTTTTCCAGCTGAGTTTTCGGAGAATATCTCGGAATCTATGAGAGATAACGAAATATTTGTTAATACTTTTTTATAAAGTGAAGTAGTAGCAACAAAAAATGTCATTACGAGCATTTCGATATTTTCGGTGGATTTCGAGATATTTCGAAATATTCTAAAATATACATCTTAGCTCAATCCACTTATCATCTTTTACCTCTTCTTCAATTGATTGCAGTTAAACAAATAATTAAAAAAATACACAACCCTCCCAGGGAGATGTCGGCACCAGTGCCCTTTTCATTCGGAGTTGAGTGATTAACTCTTCAAATTAAATTCCCAAAGTTCTTGAGTTGAGTTCGATTACGATGGCATTAAAAACTATTGGAGTCATCATCTTCATCAGTTTCACGAGTTGCGGAGTCCTGGGACAGGATGACGATTCCCTAGCTGGTAGCTTCCTATCAGGTAAGACCATGAAAAGTTAATTATAACTCCAATTAAATAACTCTGTAATAATTACAGAATAATTATAGAATACCGGCAAATTCAAAGTTTCTGTTCTCATTTGAGAATTGAAAAAAATCGATCCTGGCGTGTACTAGTTTTTTTATTTAGGATTATTCAAGATTATTTAAATATTCAGATGATGATTTATAATGATCAGAATGAAATTCAATAGATAGTAGATAAATACCCGGATCTATCGAGAAATAGAAACTGAAATACTCGAGAGAATGGGACGACACGGTTTTTATATAGGTAGCTGCGAATCAGCAAGGAAGGATGCGACTGCGTCCTACTTAGAAAACATGGATTGCTGAAGCTATGCGGATGAGGTTGTGATGACCGTAAGAGACCCGGTGGCATTAAAACATCGCCGAGGCCTCGTATGAATTTTCGTTGGAATAAATTCTCCACGTAGGTGGACGTACGTCGATTTAAAGATTTATCTCGAAAACCATCAGTCCCATGGAGAAACGTCAAAGGACTTTTTTGTAGAGACATCAATTTTCGAGAAAAAACGTTTTTTTACATTTTACCCTAAAATCAATACTTTTTGCGATTCGCCGGAATTTTACTAAACTGGGAAATTCCCGGTGGGAAAAAGTGGAACTTAACGATTTTTGCACTCATCGATTAATCTTATTCAATCTATCGATGTTACAGAGAAATATCAAAAGACTTTTTTGTAGCTGATTAAATTCCCGAGATAAATCCTCTTTTGACAATTTTTTCTGAAATTAATAATTTTCGAGATAAATCGGTATTTAATAGCGCTGGGAATTTCGTGGTGTGGCAGAAGTGGAAGTCTATATTTTTATTAACAAAAATTGATTTATCTCGGGAAATATCGGTTTGGGGGAAAAATGTCAAAAGACTTTTTTGTTGCCGAATGAGTTTTTGAAAAAAAATGTTTTCTGATATTTTTTTGTACAATTGATGGTTCGCGAGATAGGTGGATTTTAGTGAATAAATCGGATTTATCGTGCGATTGGGGGAAGAGGAATAGAAAAAAAATGTTAGAATGGGGATTTGGAGGAATGCGTGGAGAGGATTTTAGGATTGAGATTGTAGGGACCTTCAGGAGGCCTCCGTGATCGCCTCAAACGTTCAAGCACCCGTTCATTATAATTACCGTTATATTTGTTTGGGGCCGTTATGCCTGGGCGAAGTGAAACCACATTGGGACTACGTTATAAATGCTCGTGTAATACATGTGTGCACAAGTGCAACTATTTCTTTCACTTTTATTTTTTCAGGCAAAATTATATTCTATTTTTCTAGAGACTTTCCAACTTATAGATTTAATCCTGAGGGATTCACAAATAATTCATTAAAAAATGAATATTCACTTCAAAACCGCACGTTTAATATTAACATATATGCAACAATAATTATTGCTTTATAAAAAAAATAAGATATCTCCACTTTTGAATCGATTTATTTCAAACTTTTCACGATTTTTTCAATTTTTTAATGAATTCTGGAAAATTTCAATGGAAAATTTCCCGATGCGGAAATATTTCCACAAAAACTTCCGCATTATTATTTATTACATGTTTCTATAAAAAACAGTAATAAGTCAATAAAAATGCAGTTGAATTGAGTATTGACTCGGGATATTCCAGTGAAATCTATTTTCACTGTGAACTCTCGGAATTTCTCAATGGGGTTTACGAGAATTTTATTTATTCGACAAGAAGTACAAGTGCAATTGTTATTTCTCGTCGCCGCGGGTCCGAGTTCATTGACTCATTGATCTTGATGCCCTTGAATCCATCGGAATTTTCAAAGTTGATAATTAATGCAGGCATCTCCAATCTGAGTCTTTGAATCGTTAATGAATTTTTTTTTGTCGATGGGGGGTCAATGGGGGATAAAAAATCCATTGATCGGTATCACTTGGGGGGTAATCGGGGTATTTCCGTCAATGGAAATGAATTATTCTGGAGGTGGTGTTTTGAAATACTCCACGGAGTTGTTAACTTGGTTTTACTTCTTTTACACGGAACTTCCCGTTCGATGTAACGGCATTCAGGTGATTACGATTGACTCTATGATTACATAATCTTCGTGCCATTGACACTGGCTTCGTTATTCAAATCAACCTGCTTCCCTGAATTTTTAGTTGGAAAAATCATTCCACTTGTCCAGCCAATTTATTTTATTTACACGGCAAACAGAATTTTCTTTATTTTCTCAAAGTTCAGTTATCGCATAATTAAAAAAAAATATGACAACTCAAAAATTGGATTCATTCATTAATATTCCATATTATATTCATGAAATTTTATAATTAATTCCTGTAATTTTTCTAAATTCACTCCTATTTATTTATTTATTTATTATCGTTTTCTCATAATTCTAGAAAATTCAGAATTTCTGATCGATTTTTTATTTCTTTTATAATTTATTAGGTTTATTGTCGTCATATTATTTATCTACATTTTGTCAAGGCGATGTATTTATTATTTCTGTAGAAGATCAGAGGAATATATTTTTTTTTTAATCCCAGGTCTTCTGGACTCGATAGCAAACACAGCGAACAGTGCGGATTGCCCTGGGGTGTGTGTCCACGCTCTTGCTACTCTCATCTGCGATGAGGTCCTGGAAGATGTCCAGTGTCCAACACCCAGCATGAGGTGCTGCGTCAATGGACCTTTGAACAACACGGAGACGTCATCGGAGAATGACATCGAGGGCTCCACACCCACCAGCACTGAAAAACCCACGTCAACCCCTTCCACCACTATCTCCACCACTATTTCCACCAGTACTACCCCCAGTACGACGTCTACTGCAGGGACAACGGTGAATTTTTCCCCGTATTTTCCTCTCAGGAATTTTTCCCCCAATTTTCCTCTCCCTCACGATATTTTCCTCCCACTCAGAAAATTTTCCTGTAAATTCCCAGAAATTTTTCTGTAAATCTTCATAAATTAATTGTTAACACAATCTTCTCTCCTCTGTTCATTAGTGATGGAAAATGACAATTAAAAATTAATAACTTTTGAAATAGCGAATTTCTCAATTTATCATAATTTATCATAATTTTCTGTTTTTCCTAATTTTTAATAATTTTATCATTCAGGAGACGCATCGAGTGCCGGAGAAGCCGAAAGGTGAGATAATTAATTGATTATAACAATAAACAATCAATTCCAAAAGTCGATTCCAATAATTATCGATCTCATCAGTATCCAAAAATCTTGTCCAATCAATGAATTTAAGAGATCGGCGGACTGAAAAAAAATGAATGAATAAATAATATAATAATACCACTAACAATTCTCTCGACTTATTCATAATTATTTAATTTATTCCCGACATATTTCATTCATACCGACGACGTAATCAAGAATTTCTTCAAAAACTCAACTCAATAAATTCTACCCAAATTGATTTAATCATCAATCAATCATTACAGCAGAAATAATTATTTATTGTTCAATCGCAGAGAACAAATGTTCCCCGGGGTTGTGCATAGAGGCAAGACTGACGAGTTACTGTGAAGCGATCCTCGACATCGAGGATTATTGTCAGCCCCCATTCCGGTGCTGTGTCTCGAAGGACAGATTCGGGAATAATCCACCCCCTGAGTTTCACCTGGTGGACCGTACGAAGGGGAACATCACCAAAGAGGAGAAGGGAGTGGATAAAACGACGAGCACTGCACGTCCAACGACCACCACTCCAACGACGACGACGACCACCACCACCACCACAACAACCACTCAGAGACCGAAACCTCTTCATCAGACACCCTGCAAGGGTGAATGCGTCAATGGTCTATTCGCCCTCTTCTGCGATAACATCGACAGAGAAGCCGATTGCCCTTCCGGAGACTCTTGCTGCATCACTGATCCTCCCATTAGGGTGGTGAGTCATCAATTTCATTCCATTTTAATTACATTTTATCCTTTACCTTTCTCTAATTAACCTTTTCTCCTTTTTAATTTTTTCTTCTTCATTTTATTTTACTCGTTCGTTCAATTAGGTCTGTCTATTTTTATTATTTCACTTATATAATTTTTAAATTCAGGGTAATTGAATTTATTTTAGCTTGAGATCTGTCAGAAATGGAGATCCGCTGATCGATAATTTTTATTAAAAACGAGACTTTTAAATAAAATATTGTTAATTATCCAATGCGTAATATTGAATAGTAAATAATATAATTATGATGTCTCAGATTGATGTTGATATGAATTCATAAATGGAAGATAAATTAATCGTTATGATAATTAGAAATTGGAAGAGATTTTATGACTGGGGTTCTGTCGGTGGTTTTAATTAATTAGTTTAATGGATATAATTAATTGTAGGAGCCGAGCACGACGACTCCTCGTCCAACGACTAGACCACCGCAGACAAAACTACCCACGTGCAGGGGATACTGCATACTCCCGATTTTTGCAGCATTCTGTGAGCGACCTAATGAGATTAATTACAGGACGAGTTGTCAGAGTAAAGGGGGATTCGCCTGCTGCGAGGGGAGCAATTCCCTGCCACCTGTGAGTCCTTTTTATTCTAATTAAACTGTCACTTCAGTTTTCTCCCAATTAATAAATAAATCGTTATCGATATTTTCCATCAATTATTCATTAATTACCGATTACTAATTAGTTATCCATGATTTTAGTTCTGGAATTCTTCAACGCATCGATCTCTAAAAATTGTCCAAATGACAATGAAAATTAAATCACTTCATACAGAATGATTAATTAAAATAATTAATGATTGAAACTTGTACATAATTTTTGGAATCGTGGGAAATTTAATTCAATTATTTAATTTATGAATTATTATTATTTATTATCATTTATTTATTTATTTAATTAAATTTAAAGACACATTTCAATGGTAGGGGAAATTTTTGTTGAAGGGAAATCGAAATGTTTCAGGTATCGAAAAATCGACCGAAACCGGCGCCGACGCGACCACCAGCCACGACGGTATCACTGCCTCCAGATAATCGACCTGAGTGTCCTGGATCCTGCATCGTGTCTTATCTGTCCTTCACGTGCTTCAGTAATATCATCCTCACATTACCACTGATATAAAAAAATTTCTGGACCTCCAAGCGCTGCCTTAAAGATTCAAAATTAACTCTCAAATTAATTAAAAAATTAAAATAAAATTACACAATCAGGAATTTGATAATTGGATCACGTGGAAATAGAAAAAATTCATGTGGAAGTCTGTCGAATATTTCAATTGGTAATTATTTCGTTTTAGGGAATGCGGAGTTGACGAATTTGTTCAAGTGTAAAAAAATCGGGCACCAGTGTTGCGCACCGAAATTCAGGATACGAGGGGTCAGTAATTCCACTGAACAAAGTGCCTCCAATCGAAATGATACAGCATTTTCTGGAAGTTCAAGGCCCACCACAAGTTTTCCTTCATTCTGTAAGAATTAATATTCTTCATTTATTTGTTTAATAATTCAATATTTCCATTAATTCCATATCTCACCCACCGCACCATTCAATAATCAATAATAATAATAATATAAACTTAACAATATCTTAAATAACAATTTAATAATCTGTAATATTTTCAGAAAATCAATTAATAATTTAATTTAGTCAATTTCATCATGCGAATTTGATTTTGCAATTGAAAATTAGAACGAATTGAATTGAATTTTTTTTTGATTTTAATGAATTCCTTGGGTTAATTATTGACTTCTCTAATTAATTTGTGATAATAATGAAGTGCTGGTGTATTTTTAATTGTAAAAGTGCGAATATTTGACAGATGAGACAACGTTAACGACAACTCCAGCACCGACAACAACCGCATTATCAACAACAACCGACTCAACATTTAATAAATACGTGTGTGGAGTGAAGGGTACATCGCGTGGGCCCATTCAGGCTAAGAGTTTGTGGAGGGACCCAAGGGTGGTAGGAGGTGAGGATGCCGATGCTAATGAGTGGTGCTGGCAAGTGGCACTAATTAATTCCCTCAATCAATATCTGTGCGGGGGTGCACTAGTGGGAACTCAGTGGATCCTGACAGCTGCACATTGTGTCACCAAGTGAGAAAATATATTTAAATAAATAAAATAATCAATGCAATCAATTAATTTATCAAATTATTAACAATTAATTGACCAATCGATTAATTGAACCGCTAATTTGTTTGATTTCATTGAAAAAAAATTGTGAATTGAATAAATACATCGATATAATAATAAATCGATTATTGAATTAAAAAAATCTAGCATTGTCCGATCTGGAGATGCTATTTACGTACGAGTTGGAGATCACGATTTAACGAGAAAATATGGGAGTCCTGGTGCCCAGACCCTGCGAGTGGCGACAACGTACATTCATCACAACCACAACAGCCAGACCCTGGACAACGACATTGCCCTGCTGAAGCTCCATGGACAAGCTGAACTCAAGGATGGGGTGTGTCTTGTATGCCTGCCAGCCAGGGGTGTCAGTCATGCCGCTGGAAAGAGGTGCACTGTCACTGGATATGGGTACATGGGTGAAGGCAAGTGTTCGTCAGTCATTCTAATTAATTTATCATTTTAACGATCAATTTATTTGTTTCAGCTGGCCCAATACCACTGAGAGTACGAGAGGCTGAAATTCCTATAGTCAGTGATGCTGAGTGCATCAGAAAAGTCAATGCTGTCACTGAAAAACTCTTTGTACTACCCGCCAGCAGTTTTTGTGCTGGGGGAGAGCCAGGAAATGACGCTTGCCAGGTCAGTAATTTTTAATTGAAAATTTCGAGAAGTTGTAGTTGAATTGAATCTTTTCATTTTTTAATTCTGAAAAGAAACATTTCCATTTGTTCTTCGGGTTTTTAATTAATTAAATATTATTGTGATCCTTTCTGTAATTAATTATGAATCATTTTATTAATTTTATTGTGTCAGGGGGATGGAGGGGGTCCCCTAGTGTGCCAGGATGACGGTTTCTACGAGCTGACAGGACTGGTGTCCTGGGGCTTCGGTTGTGGTCGAGTCGATGTGCCAGGAGTCTACGTCAAGGTGTCAGCGTTTATCGGATGGATAAGCCAAATAATAACTGTTAATAATCTTTAGTCGGTCTCGGTATCCGAAACAGCGTCTTGACGATAGCACTGTGAGATAATGTTAAATTAAAAAAAGATGAACTTTGAAATTGAGTAGAATGAAACGACTAAAAAATTCTCAACGCACTAATTCCTTCAGTCTCGGAACAAATTGTTGAGTTGACAGCTGTTGATAGTTGATTGAATCATTCCACTTGATTATCAAATAAATCATAAAAATCATTCGTCCAGTCATTTTCACCAAAATTCAAATTCGACATCGACATTTTCTTCAAAAACACCTTCAAAGAAGAAAAAAAAATCCCCTCGCTTTGTAAATTAACGCATTACCCACTAAGAAATAATAAAACAATTACATTCCACAACTTTATTCATATATTTATAGATAAATGCCTGCGCGTGCTGACGATAATGTATATTTCCCTAATTACACAGTATCTATTAATGATCTTGTTCTTTCTCATAGAAAAAAAACTATATATATTTATATAAAAGAATATCCAAGCATTGCAGAGCTCCCCAATCCCCTCCGATAAAAAAAAATGCAATGTAAAATAAAAAAAAACCACAAAAGATCATCAATATGTGTTTTTAATAAAAAATAAAGAGATTAATCGTCAATGGCCACATACGTACACAAAAAATTGCCTCATTTTCAGTAATCAAATAAAATTAATTGAAGTGCTTTCTCCCTTGGGAAATAGAAAGACCTAATCTATTCATTATAAGAAGATAGAATTCTCCTCGTTGGATTTTTGAGCTTCGAGACTTTCGCACTCTTGAAATCTCCAGGTTTGACAAATCCCTCGATTCCATTCTCTTTGTTATCCTTCTTGCAGGCGACGTCGGAGGTGGATCTCATGACGAGTTCCTTGGTGAGATTTTTCGCAACAGAAGATAAATCAGAAGTGGACGCAGATTTTGTGAAGCCATTGAGTTTATCAGACTCGATGAAAGATGTGTCAGATGGTGTGGAGAACGATGCAAAAGACTCATTGCTCTCTTGACAGGTTACAGGTGAGCATTTTAGGGTTTCATCCTGCGCCCGGAGAGTATCCTCGTGCGAATCCTCGAGACACTTCATTTCTCTGAACCGTTGGATGATCCTCTCGTGAGGTGAAGTCATCACCAATTGCTTGGGATAATTGAAATCTCGTTTTGCTGGTGTTGTGCCACTGGGTACGTCCTTCCTCATGTCCTCAACAACGAATTTATCGACCTGGTGCTGAGTCGTTCTCAGGTAAGATGAGATCTGTGTGCTCCACTCACTGGACTGAACACTCTGGTTCTCCAGTTTTTTGCACATATCTCCAGCTGTCGCCTCGATTCTCCTCCTGTGTTGTTCCATGAGCTCTTCATGATTAACACTGACGTCAGACACGAGTTTGTGCACCTCCTGGACAGAGGAGAGGACCTCGGCCCTGTCGGAGCTCATTTTGTCCCGAAGCTCTGAGGACTTTGATGAAATCCGCTTGCTGAACTCCTGGAGCTTCTCGCAATTACCTTCCAAGTGCTTCTGTACATCTCCAGAGACAGCTGCCCCCTGGAGAACTGAGGCCTCTGCTATCTGCCAGTTAACTTCCAGATCTCTTGAGAGCTTTTCTCCCATCCCCTGGAGTCTTTCCGAGAACTCTCCACTGACGACTTTATCGATGTCCGTTTGATTCTTGAGATTTTTATCCATCTGCACCTCGATATCTTTACAAAATTCGAGCCCCTCCTCAGAGACTGTCATCGCCGTATCGTTTACCATCACCTCCTCCTCGTGAATTCTCTCGTACTCGTTGAAGCAATCCTTAAACATCTCAAAGAAGCTCTCCTTCTTCCTGGAGAGACTCGTCTGCGCTGCGATTGTCTCATTTATCCTATCAGTGTAAACATTTATCTTATCACTCAGTCGATTCCTGTCCTCGAGGAGTCTGTCACACACAGCAGCAACGGTTCTGCTCATGAAATCCCTGAGCTCCTCCAATTTCCGCCGATTCTCCTCCTCGATTCTCCTGAGATTGTCCGCAATTCCCGTTTTCACGAGCTCCTGAATTCTTTCAGAAAAAATGGAAATCATTTTTTTCTGGAGCTCAATCTCCTCGAGAGAGGCTTTGGACGACTCCTGGACCAGGTCCTCCAGCTTCAGGGCATAATCCTCGTGCTGATTATTAATCCCACCCTCCAATTTCGTGATTACTCTCTGCTCCCCCTGTAGGAGCTCCCCAGAGATTAATTTAATCGCTTTCTGGATCTCCTTGGAGTTCGTCGACGTCAGGGAGTTGATCTCGTCTTTAGTACTGAGGGAGAATTGAATCAGCTCCTGGGTGTAATTGGACAGCTGCTCGTTGGCCTCTTCGAACTGCCTCTCGATGTTCAATCGAAATTTCTCCCCTAGGTGCTCGTTCTCTTGCTCAACGCGATTTTTCCTCTCAATTTTTTCATGCAACTTCGATGTATCTTTTGTGGCGATCTCCACGACCTTGAGGAGTTGACTGGCCTGATTAAGAAGTTTCTTCTCGGTAACGACGTGCCTTTCCACCAGGTACTTCTGCTCATTCCTCTCCTGCTCCGTGATCTTCACCTGGTGTTGGGTCTGCTCCAGTGACATCTTCAACTCGTCGAGAATTTTCTCCTTATTAATCATGGTCTCCTCCAGGGCTTTTATGTGATTTATCTTCTCCTCGATCTCCTTCCCCTGGAATTCGATTGTCGTTTGGAGCTCGTTGTAGTTGTCGTGAGCCAGGTAAACCCCATTTCTGTCTCGTGTTGCTTGCAAATCCCTCCGAAGACGTTCGATCTCCTCAGTGTACTCCTTGAGGAGAGCCTTCTTCGAGAGCTTCTGATTAATCTCTGGTCTGTTAGTGATGTTCTTTGCCCTGTGGGCGTAGTCCAGAGTTGAGAGGGTCTCCTCCAGGTTGAGAGCAGCCGGTGAAACTGTCGCTATTATCGATGTCTTAGTTCTACCCCCCAGGGACTCCTGGAGGAGCCGAGTCAGCTTGGATTCTCGGTAGGGAATATGTGGTGCTCGTTCTACCAGGGCCGTTATCACTCTACCCAGAGTCAGCAAAGATTGATTTATGTTTCCTGCTTCTCTGGCTCGACGATCCACTGCTCCTGAACGACCAACATTCTCAGACCCTGCCAGATCCACTAGATTCAGCTTTCCTGTCTTCAAGAGCTCCTCACCCTCCACTGTATTCTCTTTTATATGGACTGTTATCGAGAAAACTGTGTGGGAACGGGACGAGTGGGCGTTCATCAGGGTTGCTGCCGTCTGTCGCTTCTCTGAGCCCTTCTCCAGGATCTTGTACACCTCGTTCTTGTTGTGAACTGTCACCTCCTCTAGACCGTGGATTATTACTGCTCCTTTCTTCGTCGTGTCCTCGTAAATTCTAATTTTCGATGCATCATCATTGCATGAGAGAAGATCGAAGAGTTCCTCGTTGTAGAGCTCGAGAAAACTCACTTTAACTGTGTATTCTTGAGCTTCGAGTGTCCGCAGCTCGTCGAACAGATGATTCAGGGATCGGGGTATAATTCCAGCTGCCGTATCACTTTGCCAATGGACTGAGGGGTCATTGCAGACCCCCTCCATGGTGAAGGTTTTTCCAGTTCCAGTCTGACCATAAGCAAAGACTGTGCAGTTGTATCCCGCCAGGACCTCGTCCAACAGTGGACTCACCACAGCATTGTAAACGTCCAACTAAAAAAATAGAGATAATCATCGAATCATTGGAAGAATTAATTTAAATATACCAATCAGTTTTTTAAACTAATATTCAACACTCTGGAATAAATTCATTGACTTCAAGTGTCAAGTTTTTAAAGAATATCTCGAAATTCAGTGGAGAAAAATCAAGACAGAAAATTTGTTGAAAACATTTTTTTAGGATTATTTAGAAAGAAAAGACGTAATTAGTGATTGTGTTTAACCTGTTTAGAGCTGGGCCCAAAGACCCTGTCGAAACTGAATTTCTTTGTCAACTTGCTGTCCTGTGGCCTCTCCCGCACCACGACGTCCTTCGAGGATGCCACCTCGACGACAGTCGACGACTTCCCATGGATCTCATCTTTATTCGCCGGTCTGATTACCAAAATAATTGCAATCAATCAATTACCCGCATAAAAACCAATAAAACCTACACTAGCCCATCGTCAAATATTCATAATTGAGAAATAAATTGATGAATTAATTGAGATGACCTGACCCTGAACTCAAAGAGAAAAACGTGGACAAAAGGATGAGCCTATATAATGACATTTAATTAGCAATCGAATGGAATTTTTGTATTAAAAAATGTAGCTATCCCTCCGAAGAAAAAAATACCCAAAAACAATAACAAGGGAACAGGGAAAACCCACCTGACCCTCACGAAAACTTGTATGTGTTGATTTTTATCCTTTTTCCTGGAAATCTCACTCATCTTTCTCTGCGTCATGGAAATCTTCCACTGGAGAACACTTCACTCCACTATTATCCCAAAACCCCAGAAATCTGGGACTATTGGCGCGGTATTTATATTTGTTATCGTACTGATGCAAGACGAACACGGGATTGACCGTTACACTTGGTGCAGCGAGCAAACTGGCAGTTGACGGCTTGTCCGTTCAAATTTTGAGATTCGAACATTTCCCGCGGGTGGCGCCACTACTTGCGCGCGCACCCTAACCCCTATTGGATGAATTTGGAAAATTCTCGTCGGTCGATCTAAAAATTTCTTTGTTGAAGCACTTGCCATTGGCGTGAGGATCTCCCCTGTAATCTCTGACCAAAAATTCTATTACCTGACAAAATTCCAAATTATAAAAAATAACTGTTCGAATTCGTTTGTAATTTGTTAGCAGGTGATTGCACGTCCTTTTTCGATGTTCAAGAGTGGATGATTATCTTTCAATAAATAAATGAATGGTGAAGAGAAAGCGCCTTTAATCATGGGAGCGACCTCTTCCGTCGTCACCGTCGGCACATCTCAGCCCAGCCAACACGTTACGGTCGTTCTCCCTTTCTTTCCCAGGGAGTCCGCCATTGTTGGCGCACGTACATTTTCGAACGGGACAGGAATAATCGGAAAACATCCAAAATGGTACGTACAATATTCCAATTTATCCTCGTCAGGACCACTTGTCAGGGTCACGGGTACACCATCGAGGAAATATTTTTCGACGATCGCCACGATTTATCATGCAAAACATGACAAATCGTCTGGTTACCCCGGATTGCGCAACCCCTATTAACACCGTATTTCCGTAATTTCTCTCGGGCATATGTTGCCCACCCCTTTAATCATCAGTTCAATGAATCCTCGAATTGTTTTACCGATAAAATCCGTGGATTCAGGAAATCAGGGAAAAATGTCTGATGATTTTCGAAGCTCGAGAGAACGTGTCACGATGCGTCAGACGTGCAACGAAACGACAGGATAAATTTGTGCTCCAGATGTCCTCGAGGAAATGGGAATTTTTGAGATTCTCGTGATGATGTTAGACTTTTAATAATTAACAGATAGACAGATATTCTCCAATTTTGAAATTGAGGGCTTATCGATTTGTCCTGATTTTGCGAGTTAATTGATTTTTTTTTCCAGGTGAATTTTACCGTAGACGAGATCCGGGGGATGATGGACAAGAAGAAGAACATCAGGAATATGTCCGTCATTGCCCACGTGGACCACGGAAAGTCAACTCTGACAGACTCCCTTGTATCCAAAGCTGGTATCATCGCTGGTGCCAAAGCTGGTGAAACTCGTTTCACTGATACTCGTAAGGACGAGCAGGAGAGATGTATCACCATCAAATCCACTGCTATCTCCATGTTCTTCGAGCTCGACGAGAAGGATCTGGTGTTCATCACTAATCCTGATCAGAGGGACAAGGATGAGAAGGGATTCTTGATTAATCTCATCGATTCACCTGGGCACGTCGATTTCTCAAGTGAAGTCACTGCTGCTTTGAGAGTCACTGATGGAGCACTCGTTGTTGTCGATTGTGTTTCTGGTGAGTTTAACATTTTTCAAAAATAATATCATTAATATTATTTTATTACCAACAATTTTTACTTCAACGTCAATTATTAAACGAAAATTGAATTATATATTTATTTAAATTTTATCCAAGAACACATGGGGAATAATTATTTAAAAAAAAAATCATTTTCAAGCTATCATCCCGGAATTAGATAATAAACGTTAAATACAATTGACGCCATCAAAATGATGATTGTTCTTTCACAGACCTGTTCTGAACTCAAATGAGAGACGATAAGAACGGCCAACTGACCGAGTTCCCTAGATTACGCCCTAATCACGCGATTTATCCAATAATTATTAAACGGTATTTTTTATAATTTTATCACCAGGTGTCTGTGTGCAAACGGAAACTGTACTTCGTCAGGCAATTGCCGAGCGTATAAAGCCCGTACTGTTCATGAACAAAATGGATCGTGCTTTGTTGGAGCTTCAGCTGGACAGTGAAGATCTGTATCAGACATTCCAGCGTATTGTTGAAAACGTGAACGTCATAATCGCCACTTACTCCGATGACGATGGTCCCATGGGGGAGGTTCGCGTCGATCCTAGCAAGGGATCGGTTGGTTTTGGATCTGGTCTTCATGGGTGGGCCTTCACCCTCAAGCAATTCTCGGAAATGTACGCTGAGAAATTCAAAATCGACACTGTCAAGCTCATGAATCGTCTCTGGGGTGAATCATTCTTCAATCCCAAGACCAAGAAGTGGAGCAAGCAGAAGGAAACCGATAACAAGCGATCATTCTGCATGTACGTCTTGGACCCCATCTACAAGGTAATTGCAAACAATTCAATTTTTCCATATTCTTTTTTCAATAAATTCCTATAAATCGCCGCTAACTAATTTCCAATAAAATCTCACGCCATTTCGGGAATATCTCGAGATCCAGAGGAGCCACATGAATTTGTGTAGAATGTTTTCTGTAGCTCTCGAAATTCTCTACAAAAAATATTCTCTTCGAAATTTTCCATCTCCCTTAGATTCGGAGATATTGATCGGCTTAAACAACTCATTACGTAATTAATTGCACGTAAGGCATTTTATTTTATTTTTTTATCTGCTGTTGTATTTATCTCGGGAAGGAGTGGTCCCAGGAAAAAGTTGAGAGGAAACAATTTGTTCGAAATTACGTGAACCACAAAAAAAGTTAAACCTCATTTTCTCGTGGGATCGATTGTTCTCGAGGTAGATGGATAATTCGTACCTTCCTGCACATTAGCGTCTCGCTGTAGTACGATAATACGACTTTCTGAGTTTATTGGAGTATCAGGACAGTGTGGACAGTGCATTGTGGAAGGAGAGGATAAGCGATGATGTTTAAACGCTACCATTGAACCTCTATCTTTATGTTCATTAGTGGTACGCTACGACATTGACGCGACAATTCAATTTTTTCATATTCGTCTCCATTAATGCGTCGATTTCCATTGAAAAACATTAATTTCTGCTCTCAGGTGTTCGATTGTATCATGAATTACAAGAAGGAAGAGGCCGACAGTCTCCTCTCGAAATTGGGGATTGTTCTGAAGCCCGAGGACAAGGACAAGGACGGAAAGGCTCTACTCAAGGTAATTATCCATAATTTTTCCATCCAATTAATTCAGAATTATTTACACTTCGTGATGATTGTTCTAAAATTTTCTGACACCTCTTCTGAATGTTTTTTGAAGAGTCATCGAACTACACTGACGTTTTCATCCAATTATTTTTTACATGCGTCTCGACACTGGGACTCTGGATTGAAGCTTTTTGTTTTTATTGTGTTAATTAGGTCGTGATGAGAACCTGGCTGCCAGCTGGAGAGGCTCTACTTCAGATGATAGCCATTCATCTTCCATCCCCTGTCACTGCCCAGAAATATCGTATGGAGATGCTCTACGAGGGTCCCCACGACGACGAAGCTGCCCTTGGTATCAAGGTAATCATCAATTTGCTAATTTTTTTTTTCCAAATGCTCGTTTGAGTATTTAGCACCATAAAAAATTGACTTCCCCTTTCGACGTTTTGTTAAGTTAATAGGCAATTATTTTGGGAAAAAATCATTCTTTAATTTAATTATTTAAAGAAGAAAATTAAATGATGATTGTTCTTTCACAGACCTGTTCTGAAATTAAATGAGAGACGAAAAGAACGGCCAGCTGAGTTTCTATTCTCCGAATTAATGAATGTCCTTGCAGATATGTTGATTTGTAATATTTTCTGTTTGTTTTATTTGTCCGATTAATTAGAATTGCGATCCCAACGCACCATTGATGATGTACGTATCGAAAATGGTGCCGACCTCTGACAAGGGTCGATTCTACGCTTTTGGACGTGTGTTCTCTGGAAAAGTCTCGACTGGAATGAAGGCCCGCATCATGGGGCCCAACTTCGTTCCAGGAAAGAAGGAAGATCTCTACGAGAAAGCCATCCAGCGTACAATTCTCATGATGGGGCGTTACGTCGAAGCCATCGAGGACGTGCCATCCGGTGAATATTTTAACTTGATATTTTAAATAATTTAAATATTTTATTTGGAATAGAAAGATTCTCCTCAATCTTTTTTTTATTGTTAATTGATAATGATGATTGTTTTACACAGACCTGTTCTGAATTTTCAAGTGAATCGACATTACAACGGCGAACTGATCTGAACTCATTATAGAATGATTTTTTAGTTTCAATTTTTCGGGAGTTGAATTTTGGTTTATTGGATTTTAAGGGAACATCTGTGGTCTCGTCGGTGTTGATCAGTTCCTCGTGAAGACCGGTACCATCACTACGTTCAAGGATGCCCACAACATGAAGGTCATGAAGTTCTCTGTGTCACCAGTCGTGCGTGTGGCTGTTGAACCCAAAAATCCAGCTGATCTACCCAAACTCGTTGAAGGTAAGACTTAAACGATATGTCAATATTTGAAAATGCATTTGTAAGTGAACGTGAGAATTTTCTTTGAATTTTTTTCATTTATTTCAATTTTTTAATTCGTTTATCAATAAATTATAATAAATTCAAGAGAATCATTGGAAAATTTATAATTAAATACAGCAAGACTGAATAAATTTGGAGAGGATAAATTAGTGGCGATGCAATTAGCTCTAAAAAGGAGGAAAACTCCCTCTATTAAAATGATGAAAATTTTTCCGAGCACTGGGTTATGATTTCCCATGATTAGCGTTGACACCTGATGAATAATTATCTAAATGAAAATTTTTCGTCCCAAAATTTCGCCTCTTATGTGATTTAAAAAAATTTCCAGGTCTGAAACGTCTGGCCAAGTCCGACCCTATGGTTCAATGCATAATCGAGGAGTCTGGTGAGCACATTATTGCTGGAGCTGGTGAGCTCCATCTTGAGATTTGCTTGAAGGATCTCGAGGACGATCACGCCTGCATTCCAATAAAGAAGTCAGACCCAGTGGTGTCGTACAGGGAAACAGTCTCCGAGGAGTCCGACTCGATGTGTCTCTCTAAGTCTCCCAACAAGCACAATCGTCTCTTCATGAAGGCTCAGCCAATGCCGGATGGTCTCGCTGAAGACATCGACAATGGTGATGTCAACCCCAGGGATGACTTCAAGGTTCGTGCGAGATATCTCGGTGAGAAATACGACTACGACGTGACAGAGGCCCGAAAGATCTGGTGCTTCGGTCCCGATGGAACTGGACCAAATATTCTCGTCGATTGCACAAAGGGTGTCCAGTATCTCAACGAAATCAAGGACTCAGTTGTTGCTGGATTCCAGTGGGCGACGAAGGAGGGTGTCCTCTCCGAGGAGAATCTACGAGGTGTGCGTTTCAACATCTATGACGTGACACTTCATGCCGATGCTATTCACAGAGGTGGTGGACAAATTATTCCCACAACGAGACGCTGTCTCTACGCCTGTCTTTTGACAGCCGCTCCAAGGCTCATGGAGCCAGTCTATCTCTGTGAGATTCAGTGCCCTGAGGTCGCTGTTGGTGGTATTTATGGGGTACTCAATCGTCGACGTGGACACGTATTCGAGGAACAACAGGTCGCTGGTACTCCGATGTTCGTCGTTAAGGCGTATCTTCCGGTTAATGAGTCGTTTGGATTCACTGCCGATTTACGTTCCAATACTGGAGGACAGGCTTTCCCACAGTGTGTCTTCGATCACTGGCAGATACTTCCTGGAGATCCCACTGAGCCTGGCACCAGGCCGTATCAAGTCGTTCAGGTTATTATCCATTTATCACTTTTTTCAATATTTTTGTAGACATTTTTTTGTCATTATTTTTGTCTCTTTGATTATTTCTTCTATTCATCTCATTTTTTTTCCTTTAACATTGGTGACAGAAACGTTTTGGAAAAATACTCTAATTTATTCATTTTTCAATTGCATTGTATTTATTTATTTAACCACGATCATAACTGATGACTACGAAATTTTTCATTGTCTAGTCATTTTTAAATCCGTGGAAAAAAATACGATGTTTTTTAAAGTTTCGACTCTCCAGTTGTCGATCTGGTGCGTCTGAATAGGGAAACATACATTTTCATTTGAAAAAAAAAAAACCCGAAATCAATGACAGAAAAGCCTTTTGTTTTATTTAATCATGAGAATTAATATTTTGATTCATCCGATTAATTTACAGGACACGAGAAAAAGGAAGGGACTGAAGGAGGGACTCCCTGACTTGGCATCGTACCTCGACAAATTGTAACCAATTGGGACTCTCGCACTCTATTTAAATATCCTATTTAAATATTGTAATTCAATTTGAATATCGCTCGAGCGATGGACAGCTGCCACGTTCGGCTTTATTTTCCGTGGCTTATTTTTCACGATTATCGATTAATAAAATAACAACAATAACATTCTTTATTATTTTAGCTGAGAATTATTGGAACGTTGTGTGAGGAAATTTGTAGCCATTTGTGAGCTATTCAGGTGTTGAAATTCGATAAATTTTTTACTATATTGTTTTTTAATGCCCCTCTCTTCCCCCCCTTCCCCTTATTTGGTTATTTTTGTTCAATTTGGTTGATTATTATTCCCTACTTTTTCAAAATGACTGAACGAATGAGACGATTATTTGAAAGATGATAAATGCACTGTGTATTCGAGGCCGAGTGAATATACATGGAAATACAGAAATCGATGAATAATAAATGCCTATTTATTCTGTCCCTTCTTTTTCAATCCTCAATGGAATTAATGAAAAATAAGAAAATTCTTTAATAAAAATATTTGTTTTTATTCAAATGCACTAGAAACAATTTAACAGAACCTTTTTGTAATTCAATATCAAATAATGCAGCATTTGCTGGTCATTCCTAGAGATAATTAACGTGAAGATTATAATTATAATTAAAAAATAATTATTCATAATACGTAATGAAGAGGTAAAAGATAAATCAAATTGTTGTTTTTAGCTGATTGTTGCTGAATCGTTTACGCAAATCGGTTTAGGGTGTACGATAGAACTGGGATTGATTAAATTATAGTTATTTCGTATTCATTAGAGTTGTCTAATTACGAGAGGCGGTCGTCTTATGTGTAGAATATTGGAGAAATCGTCACTACTATACAATCGTTATCGTATTTTTGTAGAGGCCTGCTAGGGATTGAACGGCCAGGAGAATAGTGTCTCTTCGGGAGACACCTGTCAGTGCATGATGCCACTCGTTATAGCCCACCTGAAATTAAAAAAATATTTCTGCATAGATATAAACAAATTACTACAATTGAACAATCCATCAATTTTTTCAACTTTCAATTCAATTGTTTCTATTCAAAAAGTTAACAATTCAACTTATCTCATTTGATTTGAAGATTAATTAAATAAATTTATATAATAGAAATAGGATAACCACCTGTAAATTAGTGGCCATTAAGGCCCCAATGTGTACAGCCAGTCCCAGAGATTTCAAAGGATAATCCTCAGGGGTGGCCTCCTGGGCAGCTGTCACAATCTGACTGGGAACTGGAGTCATCTGGGTGAATGTTTGGAGGCTGACATTATTCTTCTGGTCCTCCAAGAGAATAACTCCTAATTCGTACCACTTGTCCTGTCCAGCCTCCACCAGGAAGCTCTGGACACCGACGATTGGCACCTCCTGGGGCACCTCGTGAACATTGCGAGCGTATTTTATTCTCATCTCTGCGGCTGCTACACCCGCGTCAAAACCCACTGGGGTCTCTGGCACTGCTGGCAGGTCACAGGGTACTCCACTAGATTTTCAAAATAAAATGGCATTTTCATAATTAACGGAGTGACTTTCCCAATTGCGATTGCTCTAATTAAAAAATTACAGCAAAATCAGAAAATTATTTCATGACATTCGTGATTGATTTTATTGGATTTTTTTTTCGGAAAATTCAGATTGCTAATTGGGAAATTCTCGGAGGGAATTGCTGAATTTTTATTCGTGGATTTACCTGACTGTTGCTTTTCCAAAAACCCCCTGGAAGGCCTCACGAACTGGACTGACTTTGATCTCCTTATTGCACGCGACAACAACTTCAACGTCACCTCCAGAATCTAAAATCCAGGCATCCAGAAAACTCCACATGTATTTACGAACGTTAACTAACATTGTCATTAAAAAATTCAGTGCAATAATTTTAATCTCAATAATTTCACGAAAATCACAGACAATTTCAGGATAGAGTCGATCGTACGGCTGAATCACTGATCTAGTTTACCCAAAAATAGATTCCCAAACTACTGAATCCATCGCAACCCACGTGTCCCTAAATTTCAAAATTAAAGAGACACGAGATCAATGGAAAAATCCTATAAAACTTTAAAAAAACATCTGCCATTCATTAGTTTCTTTCGAGGTTTAATTTCGCTTTATCGTCGAACAATTAATTACACATTAACAAAACTCTTGGTTAATTAATAGATCGATTAACACAAGCGGTTAATTAATCAATCAATTAATAAATTAATTGCTCGATGGAATTTTTGGAATTTCTGCAATTTTTTAATAAAATTGAATAAATTTTCAATAAAATGAGAAGATAATAGAATAGATTGCAATTGATCAATCACGAATTACTCGTCAGATAAATGAGAAAAAAAATTACTGACGAAAGGATGATGTACTCACAAATGAACTCACGCATCTGGGGATCAAGAGTGGTGATCATGGAGTTGACGCTGTTTTTGGCTCGTTCAGCGACTTTGTTGAGGACCGAGTTATTGACGACGGTGTCCTTGACCCAAGAGAAGAGAGCCCCACCGACGGTACCCAGCTCCTGGGGGATAGATGTCTGAACGGGACTGCCTTCGAGCTCGTTGGATGACGTCGAGGGGAGAACCTGTTGACCCTGCTGGGGCTGTTTTGTCTGGACGATGACATTCGCCTCGATGGGAACGTTCGGTTGATCCTCAACCCTTGGTGGGCTCGCCACGAAGCTGGGGAGGGCCGAGGGTGGGGCTATATTCGATAATAGATTTCCGGATGACGATGAAGCCCCTAGGGGTTGCAACAGCGACGTTGACGACGATAAACTACTGTTCGAGGCTGTTGCAAAATAAAGAATTTAAAAATTAATGCATTGTAAAAACATCAAATAGACAAAAGAAAATGGAGTGCTGCAGACAGCTTTCGAAAATCCCCAAATCCTACCAGATTTTTGGTTATCCCCAGGTGCGAGGTCCTCTTTTTTGTCGACAAACTCGAAGGTCGACTCTCCATTAGACTCATCCGTCATTTTCCTAGATCAATTCACCAATTTTTCAGAAGATCTTCGAATGTCGTCAATACCCAATTGTTTATAAAATGTCGGATCAACAGGACGATTGACAATGTTCGTGACACGTGGCGCTAGTGACTCGAGATAATTTCTATCATTGAAATAAACAATCAACAATTAATTTCACAACTCAATGAAATATTCATCCACAAAATCACAACTCCAATGGCTCACCAATAATCACCGAATCCATTATGATTATCAGTTATTATCATTATTGGATTATTATTATTTTTGTATACATCAGTGGTTGAAAAATTGTAAACAGATGGCAGTCTCTCAGATTTCCTGAAAAAGCCACATGTGCCTTCAAAACACACCGTGAAATTTCCAAAAATCCAAATATAAACCAACATGAATAAAATATCAACACCGGTTTAGTCAGTTGCATGATTCCGTTAATCAATCCATTAATTAATAATTAAATGAAGATACACCGTGAATTTCTCTTGTAAAATTGATGATGAAGAATTCCAAGGACATGATCCCCTCGCAGCCACCGAGGACAGCCCTGGAGATCCTGGGGGATTATCCCGACGTCCTGAAACATCATCGAGAGGCGATAAACGTCGACGAGCTGATGCTCATAGTGAGAAAATCCCTGAACAGTCACAACCTGAAGAAATCTAGTTTATGCGATGACGAGGGTCCTCTGAAGGCTGGTCGTGGTAGGCTGTCGATGTCCTTGATCAAGGCTTCAGAAAAACGAAAGAGGACGGACGACGATGACGAGGGTGAGGTTGAAATGTTGAGGAAGATTGGAGTTCCCAAGAAGAGAAGGAGTTTTGGTTTTCCTGGGTCGAAATTCGTGGATCCTGCAGAATACTTTTCAGATGAGAGACCTGGGGTTATTGAGGACCCTACAGGGGTCCCTGATCCAGTATCACCTCCAAGGAATTCTTCTGACGGGGAGAAGCTCATAGTCACTCCGGCAAAGGCTCGAAGGTTCTCTATATCCTCAGAGATAGAATTCGATCGTGTGTACGAGTCCATTCAAACTCAAGGTAACATCAGCCTCCAAGGTGTCCAGATGTTCGACAATTTCGATGTGATAAACGATATTCTGGATGACAAGGTGATGGCAAGTTTGCTGGAGGACATGAGGCCTCAGAAGGAGTTCCAGAGCCTTGGGAGGGAAGAAATAAATGGAGAGCACGTCGATGGTGTCAAGGATAGAGAAGACTACAAGTCCGGGGAGGATAAGAATGAAGATTCCCTCGAGGGAAAATCCCCTCGAAGAAGATCTTCTCGCCTGAAGACCTCTGATATCCAGGAGTTCCTGAATATCGACGACACACAGGTGCAGGTCCTCCTAGATGATTCAAAGGACGAAACCCTGTCTCCAGATGTAATCCACAAACTCAGAACTATAACTGTGAAATTAGAGGAACCAGTTCTGCCCCAGCATACGGTCGAGAAGGGGACGATACGCAGGTGTCCCAATGCCAAAGAGAAATTACAGTTCAAGGTCTACTCGAACCTGAAGGAGGGGAGATTTTCTCTCGAGGAGAACAACATCCTCAAGAATAATTGGAAACGCTTCTGTGAGGTCCATAAACTGGACATTCCTCAGACGCATTTCTTCAAGTGCAAGTACCAGGGGAGAATGTACATCGAGGATCCACAGGAGAGAAGAAAATTCGTGCAGTTCCTGGCCCAGGGACTGCCCTCCAGGACCCTGAGATCAGTCTACGTCAGGTTCAAGGTGATTTTCGGTGCTGAGAAGGAGATGAAGAGCAAGAGCTACACTGAGGAGGACGACGAGAAGATCATGAAGTACATGCAGAGTGATTTGCCCCTGAGGAAGTCTCAGGTGCTGTCGAAACTCCTGAACAGGCCCTACAAGTCCATTTACCAGAGGTATTTACAGCTGATGAAAAGGGGAAGTAGAAAAACAGTATTCTGGAGTCTCGACCTCATGGAGGTGTTTCTCAAGAATCTCATCGACGTCACCATCTCTGAGGACGTCTGGGAGCTCAAGGACGCGATAATTCCCAAGGCAATATGGGTCAAACTGGAGGAAATCATGAAGATTGATTTCAATGCTCTCAAAAATTTTTGGTACATGCAACTCCATCCGCAGCTGTTCTTCCCGAGGAGAATTTACTTCAATGAGCTTAAGATCATGCTCATTGAGTTTCTTTATGTCAGGGGTGTTACTCATATCACTGAGATCGATTGGGGAAGAGTTAGCAATTGTTTTGATGGATTGACTAAACAATTCCTTGTTAATTTGTGTCCCAGGGTCACCAAGACAGGGAGAGCTGCGTCCTTGGGAGATCTTATAGAGAAACTTTATGAGGAGAAGATTCAGGTGTTGAAGGGGGTGAACGAGGATTTCTGTTTGCCTAGGGTCAGGTGGCATGGTGGGAAGTTAGAAGTTGTAGATAATTTTTAATTGTGGGGATTTATCGCACTTTCTTATTCAAATGGATGGTTTTTTTTTTTTAATGTATTGCATGAATAATATTCAAACTGAAATGTTAGATAAAATAGATTAATTAGGTGGAATTAATTAAATTAATCCGTAATTGACTAATTTTTGTTGAATTTTATTTAAATCTTCAATGAAAAAATTAAAAATTAATAATGATTAGTAAATGAATCAGGCACTGGTGTAAATGAAGGAGTAGATAGTTGAAAATTCATTGAAAAACCTTTTATTCTTCACACTCTAATAATTTGTCCGTCAAAATCGGAATAAACAAGACGTGGATGATAAAATTATGTGTAAATGCATTGAAAATTTATTATACCATTTTACCGTAATTTTATCGTAAGAATTCTCGATGAAATAATTTATTTAGCACTCGAGACATTGAACTGCTTGTCGATCGCCTTCTCCTTGGCCTTTTGATATAGTGGAAGGAGTTTTCCCTCCTTGGCGAGAACTTTCAGGATTTCCATTATGAGAGGCAGATAGTTGTGCTTCCTCCTGATGTTCTCGACTTTATATCTCTGGGATTTGTTGATCTCCTCTTCTATCAGAGACTGCAGACGCGCCAGCTCCACTGGGTCTGTGCATGCGGATTTTTGCTTTTCGTACAGCATTTTTCGATCAGACACGATTGCCATCAGGTTGAAGTGAATCTCTTCCTCATTGTACCTTCAGGCGACCATGAAAATTAATAATAAAATAATCAGAATCAATACAAAAAAGTGAAAAATAATTCAGTTGCAAATAGTTCGATTTGATTAAGTATCAATTTTTCTTGAAAATCATTGATTTCCAGGAAAAATATGAAGAGATCTTTTTTGTGAGGAATTTCATTGTCTATGAAAATGTTCTAAAGTATTTTCAGCTTGGAGCGATACGTTATGAGATAAATTGATAATAATAATTGAATTGGAGGGAGAGAATAGATTACTTGTTCATTTTCTTCTGAATGATGGGTCTGGCTGCCTGGACCCACTGATCACCAGGTGGGCATGGTCCCAGGTCCATTGGACCCTCTTTCAGCCCATCCAGCTCGTACAGACGACCATCGATTGGAATATAACTCACAAAGTGGAAAACATCGTCGTCTTTCGAGGCTCGTTTAGAGTCAAATTCAAACAGCGTTTGTCTAAAAATAAAATTTTGATCAGATATTATTTAACAAACTAATTAATTAACAATAATATATCGTCTCTTTGGAATAAATACCTCGAGAATGAATTATGAACCTGTCGGATTATATCTGAATTACTCAGGGCGAGTCCTCGCATCGTGGCATCAAAGCTCTGACAGAAGGTCTTGAATTCCTCTAAATTACTTCCAATTGTTAAGTCTGGGTGTTTACTATTCAGTAACACACTGACAATTGCTTGTGTGGCGCAAGCATTGTTAATTACCTTTAATAAAAAAAGAAGAATTATTAGTAATAGCTATTTTACTATTTCCAGGCAATTCATTTTGGAGAAATATTTTCAAATTGATATTGTTATTACCTACAAATACTACATGTGACAAAAAAAATTATTAAGAAATGTAAATATTTATGATTCTAAAGACGAATTAAGAATAATCAAAAAATTGTGACATGACAATCCGATTTTTAGTGACAGGATAATTACGATGCTGTCTCACCTGTTTGGCAAAGAATATTTTCTCCAATCTATTGTCTTGCACAAGTGTACCAGCAGGTTCATCATCTTTCACCCATTTAAACAGGAATATCAGCCCATGAATTGGCCTAGAGTACAAAATATCGATTAACGAATTTCATTACGAAACTAATAATTGAGGTTATGAGATTATAAAATTATCTTCAACAACTGACTTGAGGTTGTCGAACTGATCATCGTCGAGGCTCCACAGTTCCTCAACTTGAGCTCCAGTCGCACCTGGAATTAATTATTAATAGTTATTTAATAATGAAGGTATTGATTTGAACAAAAATGTTAAATGGCCTTTGTGGGTGGGTGAGGGTTATTTACGAATAGTGAGAATGAATTTGGGATTAGTCTTTGTGGGTGGTGATTAGTAGAACTCACCGAATTCGCGGATTAATTCCGTGAAAACACCGGGATCACTCTCGATGAGGCACCAATTTCCAGCGGAATCTGCCATGACTGGTTGTTTTCAGTGGTTCGCTTCTTCTTCTACTCTGTATATTTATGTTGGTTATGCTCCAGGGTCTATCTAGAGTCAAGAATCGATCATCTAAAGATCGATTATTTTCGACTCGATACTCGATTTTTAAGGTCGTTTTATGTGGGTCGATTAATGGGTAACTATCGAAACATCAATTACCATTCATCACATAAAAAAAAAACATCGATAAGAAGTTGCCGGATGGGTCGCGCCATTTTGTCGGCCGTCTTTCGAATCACATAAAAAAAAAACATCGATAAGAAGTTGCCGGATGGGTCGCGCCATTTTGTCGGCCGTCTTTCGAAGATTCGAAATGGCGGATATGGATAAAAAATATACAAGAGTGA